CATTTAATTTTTTTTTTTTAATTTCTTAATTTTTTATTAAATTCTCATCAATTTTTTAACAATTTTTTTCACTTTAAACTCACTGCTTGCTACAAAAATTTATTTTGTTTGTTAACTCTTGCCTCAAGCAGTTTAAAATATCCCAATCCACCGAAATTGGCGCAATTTTCCTGCAAACTCAGCTCCGTAATTATTTCACATTTCTATATTTACATACATATGTACATACATATATGCACAAAAGCAAGTATTTATTTATATTTCGAAAATATCCGCACTTTTCACATACAATTTTGACTATAAAGCCATCCAYAATATATCTTTCACCCGACGCTCAACAATTTGCATATAACACATTCGTTTTCCGGCACATATTTACTCATACATCGCCGTATGCCTGCGTCTGTTTGTATGTATGTACATAAAAAGTAGTGCTGAATAAAAAAAAAAGGTAAAAAAATCGTTGCTCTTAAACAAATATGTATATAAAATTATTCAACGGCAGCGCGTTCACCAGCTCGCACCGGGTATAACTCTCTCCAGGAACATCAACAGCCGACTGACTGACGTTTGGCTTTGGTGAGCGCGTTTCAAGCATTGACTGCTTCACTAACTGCTAGCTGTGCTGAGTAGTGCGGTAAGTGGCTGAGGTAACTTGCCTTGCTTGCTGCCATTTGCTTGTGTTGCCGGCTGTGCTGTTGGTTGCGTGCTCAGCGCCTCACACTCGTACTCACAAGCATTCCATTTGGTACCAGCTCTACCAGTATAGGTAGATTACTCATTGTTGCACTCTGTGTTGTGTGTTGTGGTACATATGTGGAGTTGCACCGCTTGACTGTGCTCACTCCTGACTTCGTTAATAAACTGCTGTTAAAGCGCAGCTCATCGTCATCTCACAATATACCACTAGTTTACCAAAATTACATGCAAAGCGTATGTGTGCGCTACAAATACACAGAAACTATAGCATACCCTGTAGGAAAATGCGCARTAGTGGGAGAAAGTTTTAAGCGTCTTACTCGGAGCGTCGTGTAAGCTTCGCTTCAATTGCCCCAAAGCTAAATATTGCACAAAAACCGGTAAAAACCATTCGAATAAGGCTGCATACAAATAGTAGCTTGAGAGAACTCACATCAAGTGCCTTCGCTAGAAGCTTCAATASCTTGTTTGGAATGTTCCTATGCATACCCTAAAAGCTTGAAGCAAATTGATACTCTATTTATACTCGTACATACATATATAGCAAATGATTTTGCTGTTAAAAAAATAATCTCAAAAGAACCTTGTGACAATAAACAAATCGAATTGAAGGCATTACTAAATAAAGATTGCTGTAGAACACAAGAAGAGCTCGCAGAATCCGTAGGAGTACCCTRATCTCTCCAACGTAATGGAGGTCTTCCTTTTTCTTATCTTCCCCCGGCGGGTATTGCGTCGAACACTTTCAGAGCTGGAGTGTTTTCATCCATAAATGAGCTAGCCAGCATATTCGCTGTCTCTTAATTCGCTGAACTATGTCAATGTGGTCGTATAACTTATTCAACTCATCGTTTCATTGACTGCGGTATTCGCCCTT